TTCGACAAGATTTCTGGGTCACGGATTTTCTATCTCCACCGTGAAATCCACTCTCTGTGCCAAGGTGATGTCTCCATTTCTGCCTATTTTTCTCGACTAAAAGAGTTGTGGGAAGAACAAGGAAATTTAATGGCTATCCCGTCTTGCAAGTGTCCCACTTCTCAAGCATATCATGAGGCCACTCAGAGACAGAGGTCATTGCAGTTTCTAATGGGACTGAATGAGGCATACATGAGTGCTAGGAGCCAAATACTCCTAATGCAACCTCTTCCAACAGTCAACCAGGCGTATGCGATGATTCTGGAAGATGAAGCACAGAGAAACATTGCAAGTCTGGAGAAAATAGTTCCTAATGAAGGGATGGTGATGACTGCGAAGGGAAGAGGAAGAGGAAGAGGTAAAGGGGGAGGTGCTCCCTTACCTAAGTGTGACCACTGCCATAAGAAGGGTCACACCAGAGATAGTTGCTGGCAAATAGTAGGGTACCTTGCAGACTTTAAAGGGAATAAAAGTAGACAGAATCAAGAGAACAAAGGAAATCAAAGTGGAGGATATCGAGAGGCAGAGGCTCTCACCAACACTTCAGGGGTTGTATCTTCGAGCTTTACCTTTGAGCAATATGAACGGTTATTGGAAATACTGAAGAAAGATTCAGAAACCAACGCACATGCACTCACTGGTACAGGTTTGCATAATTCTCCTATCACTAATTTGAATCATAGTAAATGGGTTATCGATTCAGGAGCTACCACTCATATGGTTAGTGATTTAGGTCTGTTAGATAATTATCAAACTTATAATGGACCTATTAAAAGCATAAGAATTCCTAATGGCGATCGTTTTTCAGTAACCCACATAGGAAATGTTAAATTTCCTAATGGAATAGAATTAAGAGGAATTTTGTATGCTGCTAAACTACAATTTAATTTGATATCTGTTTCACGCATAACAAAGGAAACTCTATGTGTTGTTTCTTTCTATCTTGATAAGTGCACCTTGTAGGGCCTTCTGATGGGAAGATGAGGGGGATTGGTAGAGTAGATCATGGTTTATACCTGTTGAGATTGGAAAAGGATCATATTTGCATGAATTCTGTTCATGATCGTTGCACTGATAAGCCTGTTGATCTATGGCTTTTGCATGAAAGAATGGGGCATGCACCCCTCAATGTAATCAAACACTTGAAAATAGTGAAAGACAAATCTATAGCAATGAATAAAAGTTGTGATACTTGCTTTTGGTCCAAACAGACCAAACTCCCCTTTCCCTCTAGCTGCATTAAAACCGTTAAATGTTTTGATTTACTTCACATGGATGTTTGGGGACCCTATAGGATTCCTACACACTCAGGGTTTTAATATTTTCTTACTAGAGCTATATGGACTTATCTTATGAAGAATAAATCTGAAACTGCTTATCACATTAAAACTTTCTTTTCTTATATTTTAACTCAGTTTAACACATGTGTTAAAAGAGTGCGAAGTGATAATGGTAGTGAATTTGTCAATCATGATTTGAGTAGTTATTTTAAAACAGAAGGTGTCATCCATGAAACTACGTGTCCTTATACCCCGGAACAAAATGGAATAGTAGAAAGAAAGCATCGTACCTTGATGCAAATCTCTAGGGCATTAATCATTCAGTCTGGTCTGCCTATCAGGTTTTGGGGGGAATGTGTTAAAACTGCTACTTATCTTGTGAATAGAATACCAAGTAGGATTTTGAGTTTTAAGACCCCTTATCAAATTGTTCATGGTCAGGCTGCAGATTACAGTAATCTGAAAGTTTTTGGCTGTTTATGTTATGCCACAGATCTTATAGTCACTGACAAATTTCAACCCAGGTCTATTCCTTGTGTTTTTTTGGGTTATCCTCTTAACCAGAAGGGGTTTACTTTGTTAAATCTGAAAGATAATAGGATTTTCATAAGTAGACATGTTCGGTTTGTTGAAAATGTTTTTCCTTTCAGACATGTTGACAGCATTGGTCAAGGGGGAGTATCTAAGGAAATGAAACAAATGTTTTTCTTTGATGTTTTTGATGATGTGCCGATTCAACATAAGGAGGTTACAGAAAATGAAATAAGAAATGATTTTCCTATGGAAGAGAGTGTTGCAGACTAACTTTATCCTAATGATAATAAGGATAACGGACATCAACAAGGTAGATCTGTTAGGGAGAGAAGACCTCCAATATGGCCTAAGGATTATATTTGTAACATGGCACAAACTCTCTTAGAACAGTTAGGTTTCCAAATTAATGCTAAGTCTACCTGTAAATATCCCATTGAGAACTACATCTCATATGATAACATTCCTTCTTCTTATATGTGTTTTATTTGCTCTATTGATACTGCTTTTGAACCCACTCATTATAATGAAGCTGTTAAGGATGATAATTGGGTTGCTGTGATGAAAAATGAAATTCAACCCTTAGAAGAAAATAAAACTTAGGACATAGTCCCAATGCCTAAAGATAAGAAGCCAATTGGTTGTAAGTGGGTGTATAAAATAAAGTACAAACTTGATGGCAGTGTTGATAAGTATAAAGTTAGGCTAGTAGCAAAGGCTTATAATTAGGTAGAAGGAGTTGATTATAATGAAACTTTCTCACCAGTAGTTAAAATGGTAACTGTGAGGACTGTTCTTAAGTTGGTTGCTGTGAATAATGGGCCCTTGTATCAAATGGATGTGAATAATGCTTTCTTACAAGGGGATCTTAATGAAGATGTGTACATGACTATACCTCAGGGATTTGAAAATCGGGGAAATAATATGGTTTGTAAGCTTAAGAAATCCTTATATGGGCTTAAACAGGCTTTTAGGCAATAGAATAAAAAATTATCATTGTCTTTATTGAATGGGGGTTTCTCACAGAGCAAGCATGATTACTCTTTATATGTCAAACATTATGATAACGATTTAGTAATCATTTTAGTCTATGTAGATGATCTTTTGATCACTGGTAATGAGCAACAATTGAACAGGTTAAAAGTTTTCTGCACAATCATTTTAAAATCAAAGATTTGGGAGTCATGAAATATTTTTTAGGGATAGAAGTTATTAGGTCTAAGGAAGGTATTATGCTTTTCCAAAGAAAATATGTACTGGATTTGCTTGCAGAAACATGTATGAGTGGATGTAAGCTGCTCACACTGCCAATGCCATAGCATCTCAAGCTGGTTGCATTTGAAGAGAAGAGACACCAAAAGGAAGATTTACTTTAGGAACCAGGGAAGTATAGGAGACTGATTGGTAAATTGATCTATTTAACAATTACAAGACCTGATATTTCTTTTCTTATACAGGTACTTAGTCAATTGATGCAATTGCCCATGAAGTCTCATTGGGCAGCAGCACTGGGAGTTCTGAGGTATCTAAAGCAGTCACCAGGACTTGGGATACGATTGAGTTCAAATAAAGATCTAAACCTGCGATGCTTCTGTGATTCAGATTGGGGGTCATGTGAGACCATGAGGAGGTCTGTCATGGGATATCTTCTCAAACTAGGGGATTCCCTCATTGTCTGGAAAACTAAGAAGCAGACAACGGTGTCCAGATCCTCAGTAGAAGCAGAATACCGTGCTTTGGGTTCAGTTGTATCTTAAGTGATTTGGGTTAGAGGACTGTTATCAGATATGGGACTTCATGTAGAAAGTCCAGTTAATATATTCTGTGATAGCAGATCAGCCATTTATATAGCCACAAACCCAGTCTTCCACGAGAGAACTAAGCATATTGAGATAGATTGTCACTTTGTGAGAGAGAAAGTGACAGAAGGACTTGTAAAATTGCAGCATGTGAGGTCTGCTAGTCAGGAGACAGATATTTTAACTAAGGCTGTAGGAAAGGAGACACAATTGAGGTTGCTTGGCAAGTTGGGTGCTTGTAATTTGTTTCAGCCCCAACTTGAGGGGGAGTATTAGAAAGGTTATTGGGTCGTTTAGTTGTTTAGGTGTATTGGGCCTGGGCTTAATTGCTGAGCCCATTTTTGGTCTTTGTTCGGTGGCTAGCTCTATTTAGGTGCTGGTGTTATTGTGTTTTGTATGGACTCATGTTTACACAATTCAATGGTATTACTCAGCTGTGCAATTCTTTGATTCTTATTACTTATATAGACGAGTAGCTAGATAGGTTTGAGCATCGCATGTTGTGTAATTTACATTTCCAATACCTAAGTCAATGGTTTACAAATTACAATTACCTTGTTTAACCATGTGGATTATAAAAGCAGAAATCTCAAGTGGTTTTTGCTTGAGAACTGAGTGTAGCTTAGGTTCAAAGGTGGAACTAAAGCAGCACAAACTTTGTTTGCAATCTCTGTCCCTCAACTAACTCGTTATGATATTTTCATCTTCATCTGGATGATTCTCTCCCCCCCCCCCCCCCAAAAAAAAAAAAAAACCATCGAGACATATCTGTATCTTTAGAACATTATATTCCAATACTTCTTTCGACCCATCTTAGAGTATCTCCAAAGGACAAAAGGTAGTATCTTATTAATAACCTTCATAAGATCAAGGAAGTTAGTTAAAAATAATTAAATGTAACAAATTCTCACAACTCTCCAAAACAACCCTTCAATTTATAAAACTAATATAGCATTGAGAGATGGAGAAAAGGAAGAAGAGTAAAAGAGCACGGATATTTTTGAAAATGAATCATAATAACTTCATTAAATTTCGAATAGAATTTTATGAAGAACCAATGAATACGATGTTCTATATATAGGACGAGAGGGTGTGTGTGTGTGTGTATTAACCTTCAAATTTTGGTGTCCACCAGTAAAAAAACGTAGAAGCAATTCAAGTTATAGGATACTTTAAACGTAACATATAGAGTGAGAGAAGAAAGAGAAAGGGAAGCCACCTGGAACATAACTTTATTCATGTTAGGCTTATTCAGATACAGATGGAGAAAAGGAAAGCACATGAAGCATTATTTTATTTTACTTGCAACACGCAGTGGCTTCATCAGCATTTCCATAGTATAGTAAGCTCTTCATGCAGCAGATGATGCAGCCTTGTGAAACACAACAACGAAAGGGTTATTATTGTCAACAACTAAAATCCTATCTCCTTTGTTGTTCCTGGAGATCCCAAGAGCACTGCAAGAATCTTCATCAGTGGGACAGAACACAATCTTATAGGTCAACCCATGATATGTCTGGATGTTAAAAGAACCACGTAGGGTGTTTTGGTACCCAACAAGTTTCACTTGCTTTGTCTCATCTTCTCCGCCGACAATCGTCCATTTTGCTGGTCGGGCTGCGCACTCCGGTGGTGCAGCGGCGGTAAACTCCGTGATCAAGTTTGTGGTGAGATAAGCGATCAAGTAAGGAGAAGAAAGTTTAGTGGGCAAACCGTTTGAGAGTTCGGAGAAGGTTTGAACAACGGTAAGAGGGCAAGTTTCATTGCCGGTGGCGGCAAGGCCGACGCCACCGCCGTGTCCCCAGAGTGCAGGGAGGATGTAGTATGAGCCACCATTTCTGACGGGGTTACCTTCAGTGTCAACCAAAATATCAGCTTTGGCTGATATGAAGGCAAAGAAAAGGAAGAAGGCAAGCAAAGTGGTCTTCATTGCTTAAGATAATTTGGCTGTGACCGGACAAATTTTTTTTCTATGTTTGTTTGATGGGTGTGGTGTGGAGATGAGGGGATGAAAATTCTATTAATAGACACACTCCATACTTGGGAGGGATAGTTTAGGTATTCCGTTAATAAAAAATCATTAAAGAAATTAGACTTTTTAGTCCTAAATAAATATAAGAGTTAACCTTTACTTTGATTTTAAATATATAAACTCAACCAATTTAAGTATTTTGTCTTGTGTCCTATATATCTCATCCTGAGACAATTTTGTTTTGTCTTGCTTTTTTTCTGTTCCAAATAATTTTGTGATGACATTGCCTAGTTCCAAAATGACTGAAACCAGGGCACATAGAAGCAGGACATTGCGATGGGACCAGTTAAACACCCTTAATATTTAATATTGGATATTAATATTAAATAATCTAGAGAATGAAAAGTTTTAAACAAAATAAAGTTTTCGTTTTGCATTTAACTCCCTATAGCTTAGTTTTCATTATTATACTTTTCGAACTCTATTAAACATCATATCATTTTTCTTTAATGCATCCATCATGTTTCCATGCCTATACTGCTAATTATTATTCTCCAGATCTCATCTTTTCCGAGCCTTAAACTTACAAGTTCGTCCTAAATTGCATTTCACTACTTGTGGGAAAATTGCAACACAAGACCCCAAGCAAACCTTCATTTGTTGATTAGACAGTCAGGCTTAATTAACTCCAAACGTGGTTCTTATCTTTTTAACAAGCCGGAAGTCATAAGAAAATTTTGGAATAACAAGGTCACTGTAAGTGATTGCGCAACTACAAACAAATTGCTCTGAATCAAGGCATTACAAATCATAAAGATTATGGTTTAAACGACGACAGCTCAAATTGAGATTAAATCAGGGTTTAACTAGTCTTTTAAAATAATGTATTTTAATTAAAATAAACAAAAATATTCATATATATATATAAATAAAATAATTAATGACTTTCTTTTTATATTTTTTATGGAATCACTAATAATTTTCTGTGAACGTACCCCTGGGCCCTGTCGCCCCAGCTGTGCGGTTGTGGTTAACGCAATTAAAAGGACGTCACGTGAATGAAAAAGATATTTCACCCAGCCCTGTAAACTTACCTTTGTCCTCTTCCTAATAAACTAATGCTCATAATCATTAATTAAACTAACACAGCCCCTTCGCAGTCACGAGAGTAAATTGAAAAAAGTTATAAACTAACACATGCATAATCATTTTGAGTTGTATGTTTAATGTAGCTAAAATAAACGAATATGAACCCTTCAAAATATAAGCATTAAATCATTAAAAAGGTCGGTTTGATTTTTTATCGGTTTCAATTTGGATTGTCCCCTCATTTAATGTATTGTTTATTTTTATTCGTAATTAATTCTTTTTTCTTTCTTCATTCTCTCTGCTACTCTCCATCTCCATACATAAGAATATGTTGAAAAAATAAATTACATTTTTTATCTTTAATCAGTTTTAATTAATTTTTTAAATTATATAATTTAATTATTTGATATTTATATTTTAAATCGAGGGAGTATTATTAATGGTCCTTCGTAGTTCATAATGTATAAAAATCCGACTCAATCGTGTGATGTGGTGGCATGAAAACGAGAGGATGGATGAGATGAAATACTATGTTTGATGCTCATAAATATATAACGATGCTGCTCAATTATGGGAGTTAAATTTTATCTGAATTTTTGTCGTTTATGTATGATTATCTTTCAATGAAACCTTGCCGCCGCAGCTGTGCGGGTGATAAATGAAAGGGACTGAGGCGCGTCAATTAAAGTCACTGGAGTTAGATAACTAATTATAAAAATTAAAAAAATAGTTATATTAGTGATTTATTAAAAAAAAAAATTTTTAGCCTTATTTATAAAGTACTTTCAGTATCTGTTTATCAAACTAAGAAAATACTTTAAATTGTATTAAATCTCTATTAAAATATGATAACTTTTTAATTTTATTCATATTTAGTATATACATATTTTTTTAGAAAAATAACTGTCTATACTGTAATAAGTAAACGATAAAATAAAGTGTAACAATAAAAATAAAAAATAAACCTTCTTATTTGAGTTGTGTATGTCTGTGTGTGTGTGTGGGGCCAAAACAGGGCTCCATCGTAGCTCATTATTGGCTGGAAAGGTTCTATTCAACGAACTACGTGATGCTGTGGTCCCCGATAATGGCGTCAATAGTATCCCTGCTCATGATTTGCAAACCCATGGCTCCATTGAGAGCTAATTTGGCGAGAGTGTCCGCTTTTGTATTCTCAGTTCTGCTTATTACTTGGAAGCTACATTCCCAGTTCCATTTCATCATTTCTTGGACCTCCCGGATGCTTTGCCAGTCCTCATGCAGGACGTTGTCTCCTTTAAGGAATGTCTCAATAACCTCAGAAGAATCGCAGCGCAAGACTACTTTCCGAAATCCCAAGTCCCAGGCACGCTTCATTCCCATCAAGCACGCCCAGATTTCAGCCGTAACATGGTCTCCATGGTCCAACTTTAGCATGAAGCCTTCACAGATTCCTACATCAACTCGCTTGGTGATGCCACCACACGCCACTTTGCCCGTCCGTGCCGAGAATGCACCATCAACCTCCACTACACAAGCATCTTGAGGGATGCCATAAGTGAGTTTGGTGAAGTTTTGTTGTGGGGCATTCATTTTAACCCCCTGAAGTTTAGTAGTCGAGTTTCTCATGCACTTCAAGATTGCAGCAGCTCTGCTTGGTAGAGGTTTAAGATCAGCGTTGATGTTCGAGTGCGTTACTTCGTTTCTCGCTTTCCATAGGAGCCAGCATATAACAGTGAATATGTCTTTCCAGTCCTCATCCATAGTCCCAGCATCGTTCCTCAAATTGAGCTGTATCCATTCTTTCAGGTCACTAGTGAAGAACCGAGTTGTGTGTTCGGGTTTGAGAATAGCTTCCCAAACCTTAGACACGGGTGGGCAGTCTCTGAATACATGTAATTCTAATTCCATCTCAGCATGGCATCTCTCACATAGCCCAGTACTGTGGAGACCTCTTTTAAGTTTTCGTTTATTGGTCAAGATGCGTTCGTGGTATAATAGCCAGGCGAAGGACTTGCACCGTTGGGGAGTTTTTAACTTCCAGATTTTATTCCAGATTCCCGTGGGTTCCTCTTGTTGTGGGTTCAGCATTCTATAGGCAGATCTCAAGGTGAAAGACCCACTCTTCTCCCATTTCCATCTGGCCACTTCAGCACCGAGGGTGTCCTTTGTTACTTGGATGCTCTCCGTGACGTGCTTCCAATTATTTTTAATGCCCCTCCAAGTGTTTGATCCAGGCTTTTTGATGTTAATCTGAGGTAGGAGGTCAGAGCCACACCCATACTTGCTTCGAAGAACTCTTGCCCAGAGGGAGTCTCTTTTAGTAACAAGACCCCATCCTAGTTTCATCATGAAGGCTCTGTTTTGCTGTTTTATGTGTCTCATGCCTAAGCCTCCATTTCGTTTCTCAGTGCAAACTCGATCCCATGAGACTAAGTGCATTTTCCGTTTCTCTTCCGAAGAGCCCCACAAGAAGTTTCGAGCCTTCTTCTCTATCTGATTGCAAGTGTCATCCGGTATATATGTTGTTTGCATAGCGTGGTTGGGCATTGCACTAATAACAGATTTCACAAGGGTGTCACGACCGGCGAAGGAGAGGCTGTTGATCTTCCAATTACTGAGGAAGCTATTAACTTTGTCGATGATGAAGTTGTAAGTATCATTAGCCACTCGATCATGGTGGAGGGGAACTCCCAAATAGTTCCCAAGGTCTGCTGTTTGGCTAAATCTAAGCTCCTTGCTAAGTTGAGAAGCTCGATTATGGTTAACATTCTGGGAGAAGAAGATCTTGGTTTTGCCATGGTTAACTTTTTGCCCCGAAGCCTCACAGAACTGGTTTAAGCATCTTCTAATCACGTCGGCTTGTTCTAAGCTGGCTTCTGCAAAAATCAATATGCTGTGGTACCAAAACGAGAGGATGAAAAGTTGCATTGGATGCTAATAATTTACTTGAACACGTGCATTTGAATTTTTGTCATTTATGTATGATTATCTTTCAATGCGGTTGTCATAAGGGAAAAGGACCCAGCCATGGCAAGTAAAAAGATTTACTTGTTGTTATATTAAATGTAAAAATTAGATAATTAATTTATAAAGATTAAAAAAATCATTTAAGTTAATAATTTATAAAAATTTATGTTGATTTTTTTTAAAAAGTACCGTCCCCAACAATATGCACTGAACTATCCTATTGATCCCATAATATCTATAATTAATAGAGATAATTTTAAAAAATTATAAATTAAAGAGATAAATTACATTTAGGAATAAAATAAACTTTTTAATTACTTTTTATACTACCTCCGGTTTTAATTATAAGAGCCAGTTGACTAATTTGAGGAGATTAAGAAAGTAAGTTGAATTAGTTATGTATCCTAAATAGATGTTGTCTTTCCTAAAATATCCTTATTAAAGTATTAACTAGAACTATCATTATTAGAAGGGTTACTTTGAAAAAAAATGTATAAATATAAGAGATAAAATAGATTGAGATCTTATATTTAAGACCAAAATAAAAATCAAATAAGATCTTATATTAAAAACCGGAAGCAGTATTTAATAGTGGAAGAGCCAAGATCATGCTACTGTTGTTCTGTCCTACTATTAATAACTGAGAGTCCACAAGGCTAAGTTAAAAATTTTGATATTCTTTCACTCATGTTTAGATTAGAAAAAGTACTCAACTCTTTTACTATCTTTTTTACTCCCTTATATATGAACTAAGTAATTAGTTTGTAAAAACTGAAAAAAAAAAAATTAACTTAGTTATTTGTAATTATGTAAATTAATTTTCATGAATAAAATACCCTCTTTAATAATGTGTATTAGAACTATCATTTAATTAATATTTTCTAATATGTACAATCAATAATAATAGTTGGAAGAAAATA